CGCCGCGCAGCGCAGGACTCGTCGCCGCCAACGATTGGAACCCCTTCATAGGTCAGCGTGTTGGCGAGGCGGACCACCCGGGTCCAGCCTCGCCGCAGGCCGACCGAGGTCGTGCGCTAGATGCGCTGGCACGCTTGGGGATTGGCAGGCCCGCGCGTTCCCCTTCTGGCGGTGGCGGGCTCAGCGACTCGGAGGACTTCCGGGATTGCGCTGATGAGAATCCCGAAATGTGCATGGACCTTGACCACGGGGACACTGCATGCGCGCCCACGGCCTTGGACGCTTCCGCCCACTCGCCGTGCATGCCACATGACGGCCCCTGCCATCCATTGCCTTGACGGAAGAGGACACATGTCAAGGCGTCAACACGGTGTGCGCACCGCTGGCTACTTTGCGCGGCCACACGGTATCCCTGCCACAAGCTGTCGCCGCAACGGCGGACCCTTGGTTAATGCCTGCGATTGCCCAGTCTGCTTTCCTACAAGCGTTTGGGGATCAAGCGCTCGCGGTTGAGGCCGCTACAGTTGCGAGCATCTTCCGGCATACTCCTCGGCCAGGCGGCCCGCCTTCTGCACTTGGTGACTTGGCAGGCCGACCAGACCAGCCCGGCCCTGATGCGAGTGAAGAAGCGGCACCAGCCGAGGCCTACCTCACTGATGCTGCTGATCGTGTGCGCAGACTTCAATGGGGCCGCGGTCGCCGAGGCCGAGGGCGAGGCCGGGGAGGTCGCGGACACCACCAAGGCTTTGAGGCGCGGCAAACCTTGACCCCAAGCCCCGCGCCGCTGCCAGCCGGCAGCGGAGTGTGGGAGCACTTGCCCAGCCACGTATTGGCGGGATGCCGACCTGCGAGCCTTGCTAGCGCAAAGGGTGTTCACTCTTCAGTCCCCACCCGGCATGGTGCGCAGTGCGCGAAGGGCTGGAACTTATCCGCGACGAACGCGATGCGCAATCTGTGAAGGCTGGATGGAGCCTTTTTCTCTCGGGGCCTCGGTTGTTGTTGTATCGGTCGCGGGGCCAGACTAGCCTGCCGCCGGCGGAACTGACTCGCCGGGTCGACTTGTTGGGGCAGCGACGTTGGGGCGACTTGCTAGCGTAGGCTGGGCAAGCAGCAGTTGCGCCGCCTTCCCACGGAGGCGAGGCGGGCCAGCTCCTGGCGGGCAACAGGATGACGATCGCCGTGCAGAGCGGGCGGCGGCCCTGGCGCATTTGGGGAACTGTCGGCCGCCAGTTCCGCGTTGGAGCCGCCCCCCTCGCCCCGGCCACGGTGGAACCACCAGCCACTTTGCGCGACCCAGCCAAGCGCCCGCAGACCCGCCAGGTCCCGCTCCCGGGCTGGCTGGCGGATTATGTTGGGCCCGCCCCTTTGGCCGTTGACCCCGCAAAATTGCGTGCTAATTTGCAAAGCGCGCGCTGGGGGGCAGCAGCTGGCCCCTCTGGCGCCACGGCTGAACACTTGCGGGTCTTGAGGGAAGGGTTCAGGAGGTTTAAAGGGGGCTAAAAACATTGGCAAAAGGGAGGCTTAGTGCGTGTTCGCGATCTTCTTGTCATTGCCGCGCAGCGTCTGGCCCAGGCGGACGTGCCGGACGACGTTGCTGCCGGCTTACGTTTGGGGCGTATGGTGGCGCTGCTCAAGCCCAGCGGGGGCATTCGCGCCCTGGTCATGGGCGACGTCTTCCGCCGCTTGGTGTCACGGACGTTGGCTCAGCAGTTCTCCACGCCTTTGCAGGAGGCATGCGCCCCTTACCAGTACGCCCTTTCCACACGAGCGGGGGCTGAGGCACTTGAGCGAGCACTCCGCGTGGCCACCGACATGAGCACGTCCACAACAGTTGTCAGTGTGGATGGAGTCGGGGCTTATGACCACATTTCGCGCAAGTGCATGTTTGATGGCCTCCTGGCATCCCCCGCGTTGGTGCCCCTTGTCCCTCTGGTCCGCCTTTTCTACGGCGGCGACAGCGAGTACTTGTTTTATGACGCGTCGGGCGCTGCCCACGCCGTTCTGCAGTCGGAGGGCGGCGAGCAGGGGGACCCGCTCATGCCCGGCTTATTCGCTGTTGGCATCCACCAGGCGTTGCGGGCCGCACACGCATCCTTTCAACCAGGCGAAGATTTGTTGGCATTTTTGGATGACACGTACATTTCTTGCCTTGCAGAACGTGCTGCCCCCACATTCAGGGCACTGCGTGAGGCGCTGGCCGCACACGCCAACATCGATCTGCACCTGGGCAAGACAAAAGTCTGGAACTCTGGAGGGGTCGAGCCGGTGGGTTTTACGGATGAGGTCCCTGCTGATCCGGACCGCCCGCCTGCATGGGTGGGCGATTGGACCCTCCCGGCCGAACAACAGGGCATGGTGGTGCTGGGCACGCCGCTTGGGAGTCATGCCTTTGTGGCGGCCCACTTGCAATCCAAATTGGAAGCCCACAAGATTTTGCTGTCCAAACTCCCCTCTGTCCCAGACTTGCAGGTCGCGTGGTTGTTGTTCCTCATGTGTGCGGCTCCCCGCTGTCACTACCTCCTCCGCGCTCTCCCGCCGGCCTACACTGCAACGTTCGCCCATCAGCACGATGAGGCGGTCCTTGCATGCTTGCAGGATTTGTTGGCCAATGGCGGGCCGCCGACGTGGGATGCCAATGCCACTCGCCGGGCTCAGTTGCCGCTGCAGCTAGGCGGTTTGGGCCTGCGCTCCGCCGAGACCACGCGTTTCGCGGCGCATTGGGCTTGTTGGGCGGACACGGTCCCTACCCGGCACCCAGACGTTCTGGCGGTGTCACTTCGCCAGGCTGAGGCCTTCCGGTCGGAGCCGCGAGCTGGTTGCATTGTGCCAAATGTTTCCACGGCACTGCACGCGGAATCTTGTTTGAGACAGGCGGGGTTTGACGCGCCGTGTTGGCCTGCACTGCTGGACAACCGTCCCCCCTCGGGCCAGGCCCGCGCCCTCACGGTGCTTCCCACCGCCCCGGAATTCCGCATGCCCTCAGACTGCATGCGTGTGCTGCTGCTCAGGCGGTTGCGCCTCCCGCTACCCCATACGCCCAGGCGTTGTCGCTGTGGCGGGACCTTGGATGCTCTGGGTGATCAGAGGGCCGCGTGCCCCACAGCATGCGTTTTGGGCCCGCGCGGCGCGCCTCTTGAACGAGCAGCCGCCGGAGTCTGCCGTGAAGGCGGCGCGCGGGTAGCCACTGCGCGACATGAACGTCGACGTGCCGCTGGCGGACTCGCTGGCGGACCCCCGCCGCATCGAGGTGCTGGCGAACGGCCTGCCGCTGTGGCAAGGCGCCCAGGCGGCTGTCGACACGACTTGTCAGCCCGGTTAGCCGGGACGGCACAGCGCGGGCGGGCGCGGACCATGTGCCGGGCAAAGCGGCGGCAGACGCGGCACGCCGGAAACGCCACGCCACATACCCGCAGCTGTTGGCCGCCCGTAAGTGTCGCCTGGTGGTGCTGGCGGTTGAGGTGGGCGGACGCTTTGGTGCCGAAATGGCGGATTTTCTCCGCCGCCTGGCCGCCTCCAAAGCGCGGGCGGCGCTGCCGTGGCTTCGGGCTGCAGCCCGCCAGGCGGCGGGCCACCGTTGGACAGGCATGTTGGCTGTTGCCGCGCAGCGGGCTCTCGCCCTGTCACTCCTTGAGCTGCCGTTGGACAGGGCAGACAAGTGTGACGGGGCGGAGCCGCCGCTGGCAGACCTGCTGGCGGACGCGCGCCATGTATATCCTGTGGCTGAAAGCCGCATGCCGCTACGCGCCTGAGAGACGGCGCCCGCAGCTTGTCGGCTATAGCTGCTTCAGCCGACCTTGGACAAACAGCCGCGAGGAAAAGTTTGAGAAGAAAAAAAAGGGCTGTCGCAAATCCTGGCAGGTTATGCGGGTGGCTTCTCGCGCGGTCTGGGGCTGACTGCCGGGACCTTAATTGGAAAGCTCTCTGCTGCTTTGGTGGTCAGTCCTCTGATTCCCTGGCTGCTCTCCAGAAGTTTTGCTGAATCTATCGCTTGCTCATCCAATTCAGTAAGCTAGGCCCAAGAGCCGTGATTGCGGGCTGACTGCGGGAGGAAAAAAAACCACGCGCTCTAGGCAGGCTATTGCGGCTATGGCGTGCGGCTGGCAAATGGCGGAGTCTTGCTGCAAATCGCTCAGGGGGGGCAAATCTCCTTCAACGTTGGAGGTGCCAGCAAAGGGGAAGGACAGGAGGCTGGCGCCTCCAGAGCTGCGCGCAGGGTCGGGCCTTTGGTAGCGGCTGGGGGCCCTGATCGCCCTTGATGCGATGGACGGCCTTGGCCGCGCAGGCACACACGACGCGCAGACCCTCCCTGCGCGTTCTTTCGCCGCCAGCCTCCTGTCCTTCCCTATCGCTGGCACCGCCAACGTTGAAGGAGATTCGCCCTTTTTCAGCGATCTGCTTGCAGACTCCACTGCTCCTCCGCCATTTTGCAGATCACGAGCCCAAAGCCTCTCGAAATGACGTCCACACATGCGGTGATAGATGTATGCAGCCTTTCTAACACGCCATTCATTCCTCACGGTCGGTTTGTTGGGGTGAACCGTAACGTCGCTTGGCAATGACGCATTCTGTTTCGCTTGTTTAAGCCATGGCAGCTCGCCTTAGCCCGGCACATCCGGGGACCATCAAAGTGCACAGCCCATTTCCCCGAGCATATCCTATTTATCTAATCATTAAATCATTCCTTTGCTTGTTTGTTTATGTATCCATCTATTTTTTTTTTGCCTTTTTTTCCTCACCATCGACCCCAACGTGGCCCCACGGCAGCCGGCTCGGCAACGCGGCCTCAAACAGAATGGTGTCGGCACTTGCTGGGATGACGCCCGTGCCCCAAGTGCCCAGCACGGCGACGTGCCCAGCCATGCGCAGCTGCCGAGCTTGATGCGCGCGCGGCACCCCTGACCCGGACAAGCCGCCGTACTAATTGCCGGCCTCTTCGCTCCAATGCCTTCCAACCCCAGCGCCTAGCATGCCAAGGCGACCACGGCTGAGCTCAGGGTAGCGTGCGGCCCTTTCCCTCCTGGCCACGCTGAGTGCGGCGCCAGCCGGGGAAGCTGCCGCGTATGTGGGTTGGCCGTCGCGGTTCAGGGCGGACACTAGCATCGCAAGGTCGGCGAAGCACTGCTGCGGAATCTTGAGTCGCCTGGCCTTCTGTCCCAATTGCTTCGCGCGCAACCTGGACACAAAGCCGCGCTGCGCCAACAAGTCGGTTCGAGGGCAGGAGTGGGGTGATTGCTGAACGCCCATTCTGACCGTCCCCACCACAACGTGCTCGCGTGATTGGGAGGGAGAGACGCTTAAAAAAGGCGCAAACAGCGCCGCGGAGCGAGATGCCTGAGGTCAGGCACGAGGGTGGCCGTGGCATCAGCGGGTATGTCGGTTAGCCACGCGCGGCCGCCCTTCCCACCCTTTGTGGTCGAGCTCTTGTCCAGTGGCGGCAACCGCCCGAAGGCAATGCGCCACCCACCTGCTCCGGCTTTGAGTTCGTGCGCGCATTGGGTTGCTGCAAAATAGTTACCTATCTGAGATGATATGAAATGCCATTCGGCTTGACCGCGCGTTGCTGAAGCAGGCCTTTTGAGCGAGCCGCCGCCCGAGCCTGCCGACAAGACGCCCAAGTTCGCGGCGCGGATTGAATCACAGTTGCTGCCGACATTCTTCAACGTCATTGTTGCGCAGCACGGTGGCTTCCGCATCGAGATGTCCTTACCCTGTGGTGGGGGCGGCGCCCAACATATCGGTGTAGGTGTATCAAAAACCCAGCCACAGTCAACGAATTACATGCAAAACTACAGTTGCTACGCCCAATTTTGTTCCGCATTTGTTCCCGCCTGCCGACGAGGTCCGTCTGTCTGCCACTATCTGCCACTATTGCTCGGGCCCATTGGCGGCCTTGCTGGTCAACAGCCAAAGAATGCGTCCAGCAGCACCTTAAGCAGCTGCAGCAACATGCGGGCGTCCACAGGCAGGAAGGCGAAACCAGCGAACGCAGTCCACCGCTGTTGCAGGGCCGGTCCCGTGTGGCCGTTTCCAATGCCCACGGATTCTCGGATTGGCCCGTACCCGGGGAATGCGGCGCAAGAATGCAGCTGCGCCGCTGCTGATGTTTTGTTGCCCTTTCTGCTTGTGGCATTTCGACCAGCACGAGCACGACACCTAATTACGGCTACCGCTGCAGCCGTTGGTGCTCTTAAGGCCATTGTTTACTGCCACTGTTGAACTGTTACGGCTGCCACCGAAAGCAACCCCCACAACATCCCACAACCATGGCACCCGCGGGTACCACTACTGTTCCCGTCATTATATCATTCCGGCTACAACGAAAACAACTGCCATAATTGTGCAGTATCGCATGCGAGGAATTCGTTTTTTCCACCGCCAGCTTGCCAGCTTGCTAGCTTGCTTGTGGTTGTTACGGGTATTTTGCAACTTGATGTTTTTCACCCCTCTGTCCCAACTGTATATATTGGTTTCGTTTGATCATGGTGGCTTCATGTCGTGGATTGGTTCATGTGCCGCGGGGTGGATATGTCGCCCAAAACCAGCCAGGTTGAAGCAGGAAGCACCGCACCCCATGGGTGGTGAGAAGGCAATGGCCGCCATTGGTTTTCATCAGGCATGCCGGTTTGTTCATTATGTAATGGCACATGGACAGGTGAAAACGATTTGCCAACGTGACGTGAAGGCCATGACCAGAGCATGTGCGGCAGGGTTGTGTTCAGCTTGTGGAAACGGCAATGCGTTGCATGCAGCCGCTTTTGTCTCCAGGACGTATTGGGGCCGTTGGCAACATGGACGTCGTTGCCTCAGAGTGCATGTTGCCCAACACAGCATGAGCGCGTATTGACATGTTGGGTTTTGCGGGATGGCCACTGAGGCTTTATTGGGATCGCGACTCGGTTGCATGCAGCGACACAATCAGCAGCAACACGGTACCTTGGCACCACGCACAAGTTTGGCCAGGCTACGATGAAGGCTTCTTTGCTGGTGGGAAGTTCAGTGGCAAAGGCGTCCATGTGGATCAGGCGGGTTGTGGTGTCATTACTTGAGTGCATCCTGAAACTATGTATTTGGAACAGGCGCAAGGATTTGCTTTGATGGCATGTGGATGAACAGGTTCTGTGGAGTAACGTTGGGCGAAACTACAAGGCAGGATTGTTTGCATGGCAGGCTTCGTGCAGTACCTATCCAAGCCTAGTTGGTGAGGTCAGCGTGCATGTGTGCAAATTGCACAGCAGCGGATGACAGACGCATGTCGGGTTTTGATGCATGCCCGGAGGGCTACAAGCTTGCGGCTTCATGGCCCAAAGGCGAAGTCAGCAAGCAGGCTGTGGCACGTTTTGTATGCTCATCAAAGTTGGACTAAATTAAACGTATGAACGCATTGCAGGTTGCGATGGAATTTTGCGACGTGCACCCTGGCCATGATTGTGGTTTGCAAGACGTGTAAGTGTGTGCCTTCATCAGGACATGTTTGACAGTGTTAGGCTGTCAAGCCTCCATGAAGGCCACAGGCATTGCTGGTTTGAATAAAGTTAGACCCCCCAAAAGGGGACCCCTAATCTTGGGAAACCCTAATCCCTATAATCCTCTATATAATCCCAGTTTCCATTTCATTTTCCATTTTCTTTTTCATTTGATTCTCCATTATAGTAGGTACCCATACACCTTGTGGGCCATGCCGAGGATGTTTATGCCGCCGCTACAGCCGCGGGAACTTGAGGCCTTGTGAAATGACAATGTGTGTCACAACATAAGTTGGACGGGTAACTTGGACGAAATAAATTCGTCCCAAACACATACACGCGTTCAGAAACAGTTCAAGCGCGCTTTCTTGTTTCAGAGTGGTTGGCAGC